TCCCGGGATCGAGTCCCGCATCGGGCTCCCTGCTCGGCGGGGAGTCTGCTTCTCCCTCTGACCCTCCCCACTCTCATGTGCTCTCTCTCATTCTCGCTCTCTCAAATAAATAAATAAATCTTTTAAAAAAAAAAAAAAAGAGTCACAAGCTGAAATTTGCAACTTTCTATCCTTTTGGGGGCTATTTTTTTGCCCATATTCTAGTCTATTCTATGCGAGGGACCAACATGTGCAGCCACTTTCTATCTTGATGGGAAACGGGCACTGATGTAGAGGCTAGGTCTGATTAGGAGACTGAGGAGAATCTCGAAATGAGCCGTGAGCCAGATACTAGTTGCATCACCCCAGGCAGACGCGGGAAGGACAACCACGGATCGCTCCAGGATGGAAGTACGGAACCAGCTGCATACACACTGCTGACTCGCTGGCCACCAGCCAGGAGAACCTGCAGCCTCTGAGGATCATATGCTTTTCTTGGCCAATGTTTTCCTTTCGGGCATTTTCCTCAGTGGCAGTTACCTCTATAGTTTTGGGGGGGAACAAGAAAGGAAACGGACAGGATGTGTAGACAACCCTGCAGGACCTAACCCAGTCCCATAAAGCCAGAGGGGTCACGTGGCACATTGACAGGATTGCCAAATATCTCATGTCAAGCACGGAGATCATTTTAAGTGGGTTCCGTGGTCTCCCCAACACCCTGGAAGCTCAAGTGGTAGACCCTTCATAACTTGTAGGAAGTAGGAAGAAGACATTAAGGCATTAGGATAAAAAACAGGAGAGGACGTAAAAAACCCCCAGCCTTCAGCACATCCCTTTTCCCACCCCTCTGTCTCTGAGCAACTCGTCCGCTCTCGCTTAGGTGACCCCCATGGGCCAGACCCCACAGTGGCCCGTCCTCCCACACCTCATCCAGCCTCGTTCTGGAAACCTCCCAGCCTTTCTGAGGCTTATTTCCCTCTCTGACATCAGAAACCCTTGTGCCCAGTTTCCCCTTCAAGTACCTCTTGCCTCCACTGTTTCCTGACATTTCCAGCCATAGCTACCTCCCACCTTCCTTGCTCAAACAGAGCCCGAAGGCCCCGTGTCCCTGCACTTTCCACGAGGCCCGTCATGGGGGCCTGTGAGCAGCGCGACCAGCACTGGGCTCTCCGATCCTGCGGATGGAGCACCAGCCCAGGGCGAGCACGTTGCATCCCTGCTCGGACCCCTTTGGCCTGCATCTCGGCCCAGCAGAGCTTACCTTGATTTCCTCCTGGTATCTGAACATGACAGGTGACAAGTAGAAGTGATAAAAGATGCTCTCCCGGAAAATGTCCTGAAGCCAAACTCTTGTCCGGGTGACCGTCGACTGGAACACTGTTTGCACAGAAACCTTCCCGGCTTCCTTTCTCGGCCCTTCGGCTGAATCCTGCTGCAGCAGGAGAGAGGGGGCGTGTAATGGTCCCCGAGCTGTGACTCAGGCTATGCTGGAGACACCACTCTCCCTTCTCGATCCACAGCAGGCACTCGAGAACAGCAACCTCTGAGTCACACGAGTGCGTTCGGGACACCCGCCTCACCAGGGCCTGCATTTCAAGGCGCTTCAATTTTCCTGGACTCTGGGTTCGCTCTGGGAGCTGGCAGCTCAGGCAAAGTGGGGGAGGGGTGGGAAGGACAAGCACTCCACCCCCACGAACCGCCCCAGCACAGTGACAGCACAGGGGACCCAGCCTTACCAACGAGCAGATCATGCCAGCCCAGGCCACGCCCACCCACCTTCTCCAGACTGGCTGGGAGAGGATGCGCCCCAATCACAGAGCCTCCAGCAGCTCAGAGACACCCCCCGCTTCTAGTGTGTCATGCAAACCCCTGCTCCTTGGCCACAGAAACAGCCCGCCGTGGGCCAGAGGTAAACCCAAGGCCCCTCCCGTCCATGCTTTCTTCCCATGAGGCTTCCCCTACTCCCTCTCTCCCTCTGGAAGATCCGTGTTCCCTGGGGCCACGGCATCTGGCAATGCCTCCCCACAGCGGCAGAAGCACAGTTGCATGAGTGCGGGCGTCAGAACCCCCACCTCAGCGGCAGCTGCTCCCTGACGCCCTGGGAGGGCCTCCCCAGCTCTGTGCTAGCGCGTGTTCTTCAATGGAGTCCCACAAGTTAGAAGTGTCAGGACCCACAACGGGATCTGCTGCCACTTCTCCCTCCAGGGACACTCCCTGAGAACCACCACGCGCCCTCCCTCCTGCCTGGTGGCCCAGCAGATGCTGATGCTGCGGGGGAGCGGGCAACCATCCACAGACAGACAGACAGGCATTAACCACAGTAGGTGCCAAGTAGGGAAAGTACGACGTATTCCCAAGGCACACGAAGGGGACGGAACCCAGCCTGGGGCAGGAGGAGGCTCTGTCCCTAAAGATGAGGAGGGCGCCAGATGCTTGGGAGGGTGCCAGATCAGTGGATGGCAAGAGGTGGCGATGGTTCTCAGCTGAAAATTGGGCATCTCAGCCCTTGTTTTAAATCCCCAAATGGCACAGCACTTTCTAGAATAATCCAGAAGCTTCAGCATGGTGTGCCTTCCCTGTGATTTGGCCTTGTCTGGACCTGGCTCCTTTCCTGCCACACTCCGTTCCTTGCAGGCCCTCAGGAGTGGTGACATTCCTCCTCCCTGACCTGGTGAGGGCTGTGTCCTCTTCATAGGAACGCAAGCCCTGCCCTCGGTTCTCAGGGCACCTTATCGACTCCAGCTTACTGTCTGTCCCCTGTGTTGCAGTTACGTGTTCACTGGGTGCCCCCCCACAGAGACCTTGCTGCGAGGAGGGCCTTTGTCACCCCCATCCTGGTGTCCCCTGCACCCAGCACAGGGCCAGGCAGAGACAGGCAAGACGTGAACAGCCCAAGCCTGAGAATCTAAGCTGGAAGGCTCACATGTGTGCTTCTTGCTTTTCTCCATCTGGTGTCCTGCCAATCCAGTTAACCCTCTGCGTCAGGACCCGTCCAGAAGTTGGTTGAAAACTCATCATACGCTTTTGTTGAATTGTAGCTTTGCAAACCTTTTTGTTTTTATGGCACAGATAGGGTATTTTTACCATGATGTAGATTACACTGGTCTGGGGTTCCAACCCACATTTAAGACTTTTTTCTGCAGGAAAATATACCCTAGAAAACTGACAAATTTCCTAAACACAGCTTATTTGGAAGTGGGCACCTGCCTGTGATGGTTTAAATGACACTTGCTTCATAAAAAGCAATCACCTTACCACTAACAGTTAGCTTAAAAATGTGTCTTTTGTATTTTAAAGAAGAAAAAGTGAAAGGAATAAAGTTAAAACATACACTGAATTCTTTTCTATCACTAACATCCCAGTTCTGAATCGCAATACAGTTAACAAAAAAATTGGTCAGTATAAATGTAAAATCTCCTATCGTCTTCAAATTGAAGCCCATAAACTCAAGCGTGCAAAGAGTACAAAACAAGAAGCCAATCCTGCCGTGAGCAGCAATGGGCGTGAGTCTGAGAGACACAGTGTTGGGTGAAGCAAGCAGACACAAAACACAGGAAGTTCAAAGACAGGCAAAACTCAGGTTCGGCGGTAGGAGACAGAAGGCGGTTCCCTCTGGGAGGCATGCGGAGGGAGTGGAGGGAGAGGGCACAGGGCACCGGGGTCTCCCTACAGCTTGATTTGGGAGGCAGCACAAGGGCGTGCACCCGTGTGGAAGGCCCTGAGGTGTGCACTTGGGACAGGTGGACTCGGCTGCTGCATTTAAGGAACAGTGTGCAGGAAATGAGGTCACATGGGAACGACCACGCAGGGACACGCATTTCGGGTACACCTTGTGGGTCCCTTGCCTGACTTCCCAGCCACCTGCACTGCTCTTTAATTAACCCATTCATCTGATGTTCTGTACTTTGACCCCTGCACTGCCTCTCTGCCTCCAACAGAAGCCCTAGGAGGGCAAGCGTGCAGACTCGCTCACCAAAACATTCTCAATGCACAGAACAGAACCGGGCATGGGGCAGGTGCCCAGCAAATATCTGAGGACAGAATCAGCCACTCTGTGTCCCTTTAGCAATCCTAGAAACCAGCAGATCTCCGTTCTGAATTGAGGCCACCTGAAATTCCATACTTATTGTGGGTGCGACGTGGTGTGTATGTTCCACTTACCACTAGAGGCTTAAGTGTAATAATTCTGCAAACAATCTCAGCAGATAAGGCAGGCAGCTCATAAAACTTTTGGTCTTTTGTGATTCTGCAGATAGTTTCATGAAGTCTCAGGCACACAGTCAAGTAGGACTCTATCAAGGGCTCCTCAAGAATCCTACCCCGCAAAGAGTTAAGAGAGATCATTGAAGTCATTTGGGAGACGTGAGAAAACAGTACCCATGATCCCTGACAAGCTCCTTCCCTTCAAAATGTCTACGAGTAAGGCATGGTTCTGATCCCATATACACTAACATTGGGAACATTTCAATAGATCCTGAACTTATGACCAAGATAAAAAAGAAACAAAGTCCTTCTGGTTTGTCTCCATGGTCTGAACTGTTTTAACAAAAGCAAGTGACACTATTCCCAAGTGTAGCCCCTTATTTGAAAAAAAGAAGCTAGGGATGTATATCACTGAAGATTAAGATACTACATAAATTTGAAAAAAATTCAGAAAGATCCAGGGAGGGAGGGAGGGATGGGGAAAAGTGCTAGAACGGGCACTGTGCGTGGGGACCAGGTCTCGCCTTCCCTGGCTGGCACGCGGCCCGAGCTGACGGGAGCTGACCAGAGTGGCAGGTGGGGGGAGAAAGGCACTGTGGCGGTGCTTCTGTGACGGACCCCGGAGAGGCCTCGAAGCCACCGGGGCTTGACATTAACAGATCTGATGCCGCCCACAGCCATCCTGAACACCCTAAAAATTCAGGGGAGGTGATATGGGAAAAGCTCTGAGAATCTCAGGAAACACCTATCAGCCACGTGTGGGTTTCTGTTGTTCTGCATTCTGGTGTATAGCGTCCCTTCGGGGTGTCAGAGGTCACACAAATCTGTAGGAGCAAATGATTTCAGATAACTACGTAAAGCTACGTTTGATTTTTATTTTCAACCGACCTGACTTGCAAAAAACATAGAGACCAACATTAAAGAAATGCAGAACACAAGCATGAATATGCAATATGGTGATCATTTAAAAAATAAGTGGAAGAAAATGTATAGGCAAAAAGACTAGATGGAAATACACCAAAGTCTTAGCAGCTGATATCTATTATTTTCCCTTAAAACAAGACAAAACAAAACCAGGATGTTAATAGCTCAAAAAGGAGTTGGGATATCTATTGAGGATCTTCTGATTTCAAGAGCAAATGGGGGGCAGTGCCAGTCAGTGTGTGTGTGGGTACCTCGTGCAAGCCAGAGGCTGCGTTTCACATTTCTACTTACTTGTCCTGATAAATATCCAGGAGGTGCAACAGCATTTGAAACATTTCCTCAATGTTCTGGGGCAGTGAAGAGAAAAGATAGGAAAGAGTTAATCATGATGCCACCATCTTTCTGAAAACAGAACTGGAAACAAAAAACAAAAAACAACAACCTAAATAAGGCAAAACAATGGGTTCTTTTCTTTCTACAAATGAGTTTTAAGGTGCTCAAGAACCAAGCTTACATCCTTCACAAATAAAATTCAGGATTTAAGATTATACTGTTTTCTGCACCCCACGAAACGGGAAAGAAGAGAGCAGCTGTGTGGGCCCTGCCTGGACCCCCGCCCCAACACACACACATACACACACACACACACACAGCCTGAAAGCCCGGGTCCCCCGCCCCAGAGTAATGGGAAGCAGAGCACCCCTGTAGCCCTAAGAAACAGCGGCCCACCACGTCTCTGGTTTCGAAGTGCTTCACCCTGCCAGGATTTCAGAGAAAAAGGAATCACAGGCCCCAAATGTCTAGTTTCTGATCTGCTTTTGCTAAGCAAGGACTCGAGAGCCTGTTCCGGACAACAGACAACAGACCTCCAGAGTTTTGCCAAAGACTTCTGTGAACTCTTGAAGCCGGTACCACGTCCCTAGAAGGCAGTCCAGGATGCAAGCTGGGAAGTGACTCAGATAGTCCATGAGGTTCTTCATATAGGAAACCAAGTTGCTCAGAGGCAGCAGACTGAACCAGGACCGGAACAGACACGCATCTACATACAGCAAATGGCTCTGCTCTCCCATGAGCTGAACTAACTGTGTCCTGTACAAGGGACGACAGGAACAGAAGGGCAGCCGTGGGGTCAACACACACAGACGGAGTTAAGGTAAGTACAGGCATGTTAGAAGAGACCTATAAAGTTCCAACTTTAAAAATAATTGAATCAGGGCGCCTGGGTGGCTCAGTTGGTTAAGCGACTGCCTTCGGTTCAGGTCATGATCCTGGAGTCCCAGGATCGAGTCCCGCATCGGGCTCCCTGCTCGGCGGGGAGTCTGCTTCTCCCTCTCCCACTCCCCCTGCTTGTGTTCCCTCTCTCGCTGTGTCTCTCTCTGTCAAATAAATAAATAAAATCTTTAAAAAAAAAATAAAAATTAAAAATAAAAAATTAAAAAAAATAAAAATAATTGAATCAAATGAAAAGCAAACAATAACATACTAAGAATTCACCAAAGTGGATGAACCTTGAGGACACGATGCTGAGTGAAACCAGCCGGTGGTGCGAGGACAGACACCCTGACTCCAGTTCCGTGAGGTCCCTAGCGTGCACAAATTCACGGAGACAGAAAGTAGGATGGTGCTTACCCGGGGGTGGGGGCACAGGGGAAGCAGAGATGTTGCTTAATGCGGACAGAGTTTCGATTTGAAAAACCTCTGGGGCGGAAGGTGGAGGCCCAACAACACGAGTGTGTCGGATGCCACTGAAGTCCACACCGAAAACGAGTAAGAGGGCAAATTACGTGATGTGTATATTTTACCACGCAGAAACCTTCACTAAGATTTAAGCACTTTTTCCAGCTTTACTGAGATATCACTGACATCTAATGTTGTGTAAGCTTAACGAGTACGATGTGTTGACTTGATACACTTCACGGAAGGATTAGCTAGGGCCAGCGCCACGTCAATGACCACCATTCCTCTCTTGTGCTAACAGCATGTAAGATCTACTCTCTCCGCAACCTGGAAGTCTATCACACAGTATTACTAACTGTGGTCACCACGCCGCACATTAGGGTCCCAGAACTTACTCATCTTCTAGCTGTAAATTTGTACAACAACCAACACCTCCCGAGTTCCGCCCACAGCCTCCATCCTACTCTCTGTCTCTATGAATTTGACTTTTTTAGCTTCCACACAAGTGCTATCGTACATCATATTCCCGTGGCGGGGGGAAGGGGAGGTGCGTGTCTCACATCTCTGTTACCCACTCATCGGTCAATGCGCACTCGGTGGTTTCCACGTCTCGGCTATTGTGACTAAAGCCGCAGAGACCATGGGGCTGTGCGTATGCCTTTCAGACACCGATTTCATTTCCTTGGGATACACACCCACAAGAGGGACCTCTGGTTCATAGGGTGGCTCCGCTGTTAACTTTTTGAGATGATTTTTCCATACTGGCTGCAATGATTTATGAATTAAGCATTTCGATGAGCGACTGAGTGAATGCTCCAGATCAAACAGTCCAAGTGAGCCCAGTGAAGGTCTTTAAATTATGTTCATTCTGTGACACTGTACTAGAGACCCCAGAAGATGACCACTGGAAAATAAAGTGAGGTGCCACAAGTCACAGGGGTACAAAGATCGCATGGATGAAGGTTCACGGCATAGTAAAGACCACGTCTGCCTGAAAGACAGGGTCTTTAAGACCAAGGCTGGTGCTTGCCATTCTCCACTGTCAACAACTGAATTTCTTCCAGACGGTTTGTACACCAGTGAAGGGTCCTTAAAATATATGCAATGATCTAAATAATCTTAACTGGGCTTTAACTTCTAAAGTTTCCAATAATAGTGAAGGAGCAATAACTTAATTGAGCTATTTTAATCCCTAAGAACCTATGGGCAGGAGTGTACTGAGTTGGTGGAGGGGTGGGTGCAGGTGAGACTCGGATTCCTTTCTCTGACACAAGATAATGTGAACGGGGGGCATTGTGCTTGCAACTGAGCAGAAGTTTTCATCTTTTTAAAATTTTTAATTTAATTTTGATTTTTGTCCTTAAGCTCGATTTACCGTTTTTCGTTTGTGGATTGTGCGTTCTGTGTCTTCTCTAAGAAAGCTTTGCTCACCTGGTCTGGAGACGAGTACTTCACTACCTCAAGATTTGCACGTACCATGTGCCAAGCCTTTACCTGGCAGTCCTGCTTTCAGGGATCTAGCTCGAGGAAAGAATTGGACAGGGAAGCACCAAGGATGCTCGTCAAAGCATGCATGCTTACAAAGTCAGAGTGCAGAAAGAAGAAATAATGCACATGCCCAGTCACTGCTTAAGGAAAAATAAGTTCTAATGAGTAAGCAGTCATTACAACAACGTAGCCTCGTGTTTACCACCACGGAGTTGCTCACAGAGTACTGTGAAGTGAAAAAGAGCCCGTGGGAAAACGGAATACAGAATCTGCCACTGTTGTCGAGCACCTAACGCGCCCGCAAAGCTGCGTTCGGACAAAATCCCAGAAATGTGCATGCCAAAGTGTTAGCAACAACGATTATCTCTGGGGATGCAGGCTGTTTTTTTCTTTTTTATATTCTTCGTTAACATTTCTTGTATGTTTAACATTTGTTGAAAAAGTCATTTTAAAAGAGCCCTGGAAGCGGGAATGTGTGCACCTGGGGGCTCACCGGAGATCCCCGAAGCACAGCCAGGATTCCAAGATTTACAGATGGAAGTGCAGCTCTACCACTTACTGATCTAGCCTTCTTTCCCGAAACTCAGAGAAGGGGATTCCTTCCAGGGCCGCCCAGGTGTCCTCAGGCTGCTTCCTGCAGTCCCTTCCTTGAGGGGATGACAGCAGACAGTGGTGCAAGACGGGCAGGGTGAGCACCCAGAGGTCCACTGTTTTCACTATGCACCGTCGGCACAAGTTGACCAAGAACTCTCGCCAGCTGGGAAGGGAGCAGAGAGCCCACGGTGAGCTGGGATGGCCAGTGTCCTGCCCCGGGGGTCTGACAGCAACCCACACGGAGGAGGGAAGGAGCGCTCGGGGGTGGCCGAGAGGAGTGACTAGCCCCAGGAGAAACGTGGTTGCATGGGACACCGGGGGCGCCCTCGGCTCACCCCGCGGAGCTTCGGGCCCTGGACGTGCCTTCCCTGAAGCCCCACGGCGAATGTCTATCGCCCTGACAGCCGAGGCTCAGGGGGGCTATGTGATCTGTGGGCCCAGACCCTCTGGGAACAGTAAGTCCAGATAGAAAGCCACTTTGCCAGTGCCGGGGGGCAGCCTGCCAACAACACTCAGCAAACTGCTTACGGTCGCAAGATATTAATGCTCGCCGGTGCTTGGAAACACTCAAAACACTCTGTACGTTTGCTGCCAGTTCCTCTCTCTTAAAAAATGTAGAGTTGCACTCAGTGTTTCAAGTTTGTAAAACCAAGAGGCAGCTGTCCTAATAAGACTCACTGCTCAGGGAAGGCCGCCTCCTACCGCCCTCTAGTTCCGTTCACACAGCTGCCGAAAACGGTGCAGGAAGGCCCTGAATCAGCGGGTGCTGGGCGGGCCCCTCCACCCGGGCCAACAGAGGCTCCTCAGGGCAGGCCGGCGCCTCCACGCTGCACCTGACCCAGCGCACTGCGGCCGAGGCCCAGGGAGAGCACCCCCTTGCTTCCATGGGCATGCCTGGGCTGGGCCCCTAGAGTCAATCTTCAAGCCCTAATCCCTGCAACCTTACGTACACAGGGTGATACAGGACATTTTCAAGTTTTTGTGCTTGTGGGCACTGCTCCTTGGCTCCCAGGGAAGCTAAACTTTGACATTTACAAAGGTCAAAATGATCTCAACCCACGGGCTCTGTTTCTGCCCAGAGCACACATGGTATGTCTGCTTCATTGAAAAAAAAAATCAAAAAGGGGCATTCCAAACAGAAAAATAAGAAAAAGAGAAAACACGTCCTGGTTCCCATAAGATTAAAGTCTTGCACACATTAAACGCATAAGATAAAGTCTATAACTTTCGGGGCGCCTGGGTGGCTCAGTTGGTTGGGCGACTGCCTTCGGCTCAGGTCATGATCCTGGAGTCCCGGGATCAAGTCCCGCATCGGGCTCCCTGCTCGGCGGGGAGTCTGCTTCTCCCTCTGACCCTCCTCCCTCTCATGCTCTCTGTCTCTCATTCTCTCTCTCTCAAATAAATAAATGAAATCTTAAAAAAAAAAAAGTCTGTAACTTTCTGGAATGCCCTTCGTCGTGATGATCTGTAACTCCCTCCGTAAAAAGCACGTATCACCTGCACCTCGTGTTCCCTCCCCGGAGCACGCATGCTCCTCTTGGTGTGTGTCCCAGTTAGCTGTTTTAACTTGGGCTCAAATAAAATACTTCTCCTGTTTTGTTTTTCTTTTTTTAAGATTTCATTTTTGCGTGGAGCGCCTAGCTGGTTCGGTCAGTGGAGTGTGTGACTTTGATCTTGGGGCTGTGCGTTGGAGGCCCACGTTGGGTGTGGAGCCTACTTAAAAAAACAAAAACAAAAACAAAAAAACTAACAAAAAAATCAATTTAAAGATTTTATTTTTAAGTCATCTCTATACCCAACGTGGCACTCCAACTCACAACCCCGAGATCAAGAGTCATCCACACCACCGGCTGAGCCAGCCAGGTGCCCCACCTCCTTTATTTATTTATTTTTTTAATTAAAAAAAAAAAAGGTTTATTCATTTTGGGTCACCAGGGGCAAGGCATGATACACCACAAAGCTTCTCAAAAGCAAGCTATTCGATAGAAAAACCAAACATGTGCTAGGAAGATGGCTGGCGAGGCAGACACTGAAGTGGCAGGTGAGTGAAATCACGGGCAGACTTTACTCCTGGCACGTCTGCATCCAACCTGTGACAAACGCTCATTTATATAATCAGATCGTCATTATAAACAGCTATAAAGTCATTTGACACACACAATACCTGTCACATATTCCAAAGATGTGCCTTAGGTCACTGTCAAGGTCACCTGGTGAACCGGTGTTTGAGCAAAGAAGGCTACAGAGCAACATCAGGTCATTCTCTGATAAGGGAATGTCAAATTTTTCCACTGCAAAAAGGATAATCAGGCCCATTCTCAATTTACTCCTCACTGGGCTGTCTTCAGGCAGAGGGCCCCCACTTCTTTCCAGAAATGGCACCGCTTGTTTTTTCAAATACTCCCACAGGTTTCTCTTCACCTGGTCCCAGGAGAAAAGACAGAACCATGGAGTTGAAGCCATCAGGGGTGTGAGAGGGGCCCCTTCATTGCCCTCAGTGCCAGGTCAGCTGGGCAACGGACCAAGGCCCCCGAGGGGTGGACACAGCTCCCATGGAGGGGCCATCCCACTGCCCTGCCCTCCCCAACAAACCCTGAGCACCCCCCACCTCCCAGGCCTAGTGGCTGTGGGCCTGTGCTGGGAGCTACCACCAATGGTGCAGTCCAGAAACCCTGCCTGGTGGAGGGGCCCCTCCATGCTTGCAAGGGTCCAACTTCCATCTCAGAAATGGCCCCAGGTTCTTCTCAACACTGCCAGGGCCATCCCAAAACGTGGTGGGAGAGGTGATAAAGGAGGGTTCCACCCATTCCTTCCACTCCCCTAGAGGCCAGGTGGGAGGGCAAGGGGGATGAGGGGGTGGGAACTGGGGCGGGGTGGGGGTGGGGCCAGGAGAGGAGGTGGGACCAGGGGTGGGGGAGGGGCGGGGAAGGAAGAAAATGGGGCGGCCAGAGAATCCACGAGCAACAGCGCCTGCACGACGGGCAGGGCGACGTCCACCTGCCCCCATCTGCTCCCCGGGACAACCCCTGCCGGTAAGAAGAGGGGTGGTGCTGACTGCCCAGAGACGGGGGAGCGGCGGGGGACACCCCTGACACCCAGTACCTCCTTCTCATCGTACTGCAGAGCGTGCCAGGGCTGTGCCTGGCCTTCGTAGATCATGGGCACTTTCACGACAACATAGAACTGCTGGAACTGGGTGAAAAAGCTCTTCAGGTTGATGGCGTTCCAGGTCTGCAGGATGCTGAAGATGCTGTCCAGCATGATGGTGGCCGCGATCTGCTTCCCCTTCACCACGTCCTTCCTTATACCGTCCGTCAGAGAATTCATCATCCTCTGAAGCATCCCCGGGCACCTCATACGAACCACATCATCATACTGGTGCCAGACTAAGAGTGGAGAGAGGAAACACCACACCGTGGGCCGCTGACCTAGACACCGCCCCCTCCCCGGCAGGCGGACCGACGGACGGAGGAGGCAGAGGAAGGGAAGCAACCGCACTCATGCGGGCCAGGGCCCCGCCGGCGGAGAAGCAACGCGGAGGCTGGTCCCACGGGGGAGCACAGCTGCGTTTAGGACGCGGACCCTTGCCGCCCCACAGTGATTAGAGGGGGACCCGAGGCCCCATGATTCAGCTGGCCTGAAAATACTCGACACATGTCTTTACTGAACCAGACGACAGCTCAGCACACTCGGTACATGGGTTCATTAGAAAGCGATCACACAAAGGTTAAGAATTCCATCCCGAAACGGCACTCACTAGCAGCCGAGCACCCCACTTTGCTAAGTTACAAGAGCTGGTTTCCTCTGTGCTGGGAGCTGTGATGCCCACTCCATGCAGGACGGACAAGACAGAGCCCTTGATGCACGGCCAGGGCTGAGTCCACCCCTGCTCTTGGGACTGGGAGCAAAGGTACGAGTGTTGATTAGAAAATCCAGCAAAACCAGCTGCAAAATAATTAGAAGATCAAGGGCTCAGTAAGACAGCCAGAGGCAACACGAACACATAAACTCAGCCATAAAGATCGGAATGTGCAAGTCTCAGGAAGAACGGGTACTCTGTGCATCCCACTGTCTGCACAGAGGTCCCCCCTCACCCCACCCCTGCTCCATCCCAGCCTGGCGAGAACTTGAAATTACTGTCGGGAATTACTGCTTTTCCTGCTCTCTGCATCCCACCTCCAGAGGCCCATGTGAGCTCCTGGCCTGGCCAGACCCCCTTCCCAGAGGGGGAGGGAGTACCACCCAGGGCTCCGTGAAGGGGACACCCTCGACCCCGGGATGGGGGGAGGGGGGACATCGGAGGTCTCGGTTTCTCAGAATCTACCAGAAGAAAATAAATAAAATGTTTAAGTTTCCAATCCACTCGAGAAAAGAGAAAGAAAAAGAAATTCTGCAAGTTAGAAAAAATACCCCAAAAAAGGGCATGAAAGCAAGGTGACTAGAAAAGACAGGTCAAGATGGCAAAAGTCCAGCAGCAACCAGCAGGCTAAGTGCATCCACTGAAGATGGTCAGACTGAATGAAAAACCATGAAATAAAACAAACCAATGAAAGCCCAGCGAAACAGAGAGGTGGCCGGAGAGGCAGACCCCAGAGCAAAGGGCAGAGCAGAGATGAGGGCGGAGATGGAGAAGCAGGAGCTGGAGGTGTGGACAGCAGGTGCACCACCCGGTTCCAGGCAGAACGGCACCGGCACGTGGCAGAGGGACCGCGGAGGGTCATGGAGGGACCGCGGAGGGACAGCAAAGGGACTGCGGAGGGACAGTGGAGGGACCGCGGAGGGACAGGGAAGGGACCACGGAGGGACCGCGGAGGGCCATGGAGGGACTGCAGAGGGACAGTGGAGGGATCGCGGAGGGACCGCGGAGGGACAGGGGAGGGCGCGGAGGGACCGCGGAGGGACAGTGGAGGGACCGCGGAGGGACTACGGAGGGCCACGGGGGGACAGCAAAGGGACCGCGGAGGGACAGTGGAGGGACCGGGGAGGGACCGCGGAGGGACAGGGGAGGGACCACGGAGGGACCGCGGAGGGCCATGGAGGGACTGCAGAGGGACAGTGGAGGGATCGCGGAGGGACCGCGGAGGGACAGGGGAGGGCGCGGAGGGACCGCGGAGGGACAGTGGAGGGACCGCGGAGGACCACGGAGGGACAACATTCAGGCCCCCCACAGCCAGGCCACCAGCATGTGCTTCCTTGGTCTGGGTCTCTTGGGGCGCGGGGCTGCAGCCCGGAACCCCCACTCTGGAACCTGGCCGCTGAGGCTCACGCTCTGCGGGGACGCTTAGAGGGAGGAAGGGGGGCAGACACCTCTCCCCCCACCCGCACTGGGAATAAGGAAACCTGCGTTTATTTAAGTTACTATAGATGAGCCACTGCCACACGAGGTGGAGCAGAGCACAAAACCTCTCTCAATCACCACGTTTCCAGCACCTTCCAGACACCCTTCCCAAACCGCCTGCAGGGACGATGTCAGCGGCTGGGGCACCCCGCCCCTGGGCTCACGCAGTGACCTCCTGGCCCGTGGAAAGCCAGCCAGTGGGCCCTCCCACTGGTCACCAGGCCTCAGCTCCGTCCCGCTCCGACGCCCCAACCCGCCCGCTTGGCTCAGGCACCAGCGGCCCCACGTCCTGACAGTCACCCTGTGTCTGGAGGCCACGGAGCTCACGGCCCAGCAACAGGGAGGAGCGCCGGCTACAGACGGACGGAGACAGGCCTCTCGGGAGCTGACGGGCCAACTGCTCGAGAAAGGACTTACTATCAAACAGGCTTCATCCACTCGACGTTCGGAGATCCGAGCGCCCCCAGCACACGGCCCGGTCTTGCTCAGCACACGGGGACCCCGCCACAGAGCGGGCACCGGGCCACAGAGAAGGTCCACGCGAGTTCCCCATGTGGAAGCCACAGAGATCATGTATAGGTAGAACACACACCACACACGCCACACACACACCATGTTCACACACATACCATGTTCACACACACACATGTTCACACACCACAAACACACTCAACATCATGTTCACACACACATGTTCACACACTCCACACACACATCATGTTCACACACATACGTTCACACACCACACACTCCACACACACATCAT